TATGTATGTATGTGTGCATGCATGCATGCATGCATGCTTACATACATGTATGCATGTATGTATGTATGTAATGTATGTATGTAATGTCATGTAATGTCATGTAATGTAATGTAATGTAATGTAATGTACTGTAATGTATGTATGTATGTATGTATGTATGTATCCTTGCACTTCCCCTTTGCTCCCCAGTATTTCCCGCAAAAAAAAACATGGTTTTTCCAGCGTTTTCGCAAAGAGGACGTCCAAAAACATTGAGTTTTTCCAGATCTTCGGCAAAAGGATGCAGGAAGCCCAAGCCAGCAAAAAAGCCGGCAGGGGGAATCGAGCCTGGGACCCCTGTTTTGCGACACCGGCTCCCCGAAGACTACGTTTAGTGGAACGTCATCAAATTGCCGCGCGGTACGTGGGGGACCCCCCCCCCAAAAAACCTACGTAATAGACGTCGGGCGGGGGGGGGTTAGGGGGGGGGTTATCCTCTATCCTCTAGTAAGTATCCGACACGCCGAGCAATGTCGGCGGATTCCAGCCCCAGAGCCAACAGACAAATGAGCAAATGAGCAAATGATGCAGGTGAGGCTGGAACATCTGCAGGTCACCGACCTGCAGAACTTCATTGGACTCTGCCTGGATCGCCCGCCTCATTTTCTCATTTGTCAGCTTCACAGCAAGAGCCAACACACAAATGAGCAAGTGATGCGGCTGATGCCCAGGCAGAGCCATGAAGGTCTGCAGGTCAGCGGCCTGCAGATGTAGCTGTGTTGGTCAGTGACTTGCAGATGTTGCAGCCCAAGAGTCAACAACTGTACGGGTGATGCTCAGGTGCATGAAGCGACCTGCAGATGTTCCAGCCCAAGAGTCAACAAACAAATGAGCAAGTGATGCAGGTGATGCCTAGGCAGAGCCAATGAAGGTCTCAGATGTTGCAGAACAAGAGCCAGCAAACGCGGTCATACGGGGGGAGAGCCCCATGAAGCTCTGCAGGTCAGTGACCTGCAGATGTTCCAGCCCAAGAGCCAACAGAGAAATGCGCAAATGATGCGGCTCTGCAGGTCAGTGATGTGATGCCCAGGCAGAGCCCCATGCAGTTCTGCAGGTCACTGTTCCAGCCCATGAGCAAATGATGCTGGTGATGCCCAGGCAGAGGCCCATGAAGCTGTGCGGGTCAGTGACCTGCCGATTTTCCCAACAAACAAATCAGCAGTTCCAGCCCAAGAGCCAACAAATGAGCAAATGATGCGGGTGATGCCGAGGCAGAGTCCCATGAAGCTGTGCAGGTCGGTGACCTGCAGATGTTCCAGCCCAAGAGCCAACAGACAAATGAGCAAATGATGCGGGTGATGCCCAGCCAAAGCTATGAAGCTCTGCAGGTCAGTGGCCTGCAGATGTTGGAGTTCAAGAGCCAGCAAACAAATGAGCAAATGATGTGGGTGCTTGCCAGGCAGAGCGCCGTGAAGCTGTTTTGGTCAGTGACCTGCAGATGTTCCAGCCCAAGAGTCAACAAACGGTGATGCCCAGGCAGAGCTTGCCTGCCTCATGAAGCTCTGCAGGTCAGTGACCCGCAGATGCACCATGAAGTTCTGCAGGTCGAGGTCGGTGACCTGCCTGCAGATGTTCCAGCGCATGAGGCAACAGACAAATGAGCAAATGATGCGGGTGCTGGCCAGGCAGAGCGCAGCTCTGCAGCCCAAGAGCCAACAAACAAACGAGCAAGTGCGGTCATACGGGGGGAGGGCCCCATGAAGCTCTGCAGGTCAGTGACCTGCAGCTGTTCCAGCCCAAGAGCCAACAGAGAAATGCGCAAATGATGCGGCTCTGCAGGTCAGTGACCCCAACAAGCACATGATGTGATGCCCAGGCAGAGCCCCATGCAGTTCTGCAGGTCATTGTTCCAGCCCATGAGCAAATGATGCTGGTGATGCCCAGGCAGAGGCCCATGAAGCTGTGCGGGTCAGTGACCTGCCGATTTTCCCAACAAACAAATGAGCAGATGATGCAGGGGATGCCCAGGCTCCAATGAAGCTCTGCAGGTCGGTGACCTGCAGATGTTCCAGCCGAAGAGCCAACAGACAAATGAGCAATTGATGCGGGTGATGCCCAGCCAAAGCCATAAAGCTCTGCAGGTCAGTGGCCTGCAGATGTTGCAGCCCAAGAGCCAGCAAACAAATGAGCAAATGATGCGGGTGCTGGCCAGGCAGAGCGCCGTGAAGCTGTTTTGGTCAGTGACCTGCAGATGTTCCAGCCCAAGAGTCAACAAACAACTGAGCAAATGATACGGGTGATGCTCAGGTACAGCACCATGAAGCTCTGCAGGTCAGCGACCTGCAGATGTTCCAGCCCAAGAGCCAACAGACAAATGATGCAGGTGATGCGCAGGCAGAGCCCCGTGAAGCTCTACAAGCCAACAAGGCAGAGGCCCATGAAGCTGTGCGGGTCAGTGACCTGTATTTTCCAGCCCCAGCGTCAACGAACAAATGAGCAGATGATGCAGGGGATGCCCAGGCAGCGCCTCCACGAAGCTATATTCAAACCCAAGAGCCAGCAAATGATGCTGGTGATGCCCGATGAACCATATTTTCCATCCAAACAGCCAACAGACAAAGTAAATGATGCGGGTGATGCCCAGCCAGAGCCATCAAGGTCTGCAGGTCAGTGGCCTGCAGATGTTGCAGAACAAGAGTCAACAAACAACTGAGCAAATGATACGGGTGATGCTCAGGTGCAGCCCCAAGAAGCTTCGCAGGCCAGCGACCTGCAGATGTTCCAGCCAAAGAGCCAACAGACAAATAAGCAAATATGCCCAGCCAGAGCCATGAAGCTCTGCACGTCAGTGGCCTGCAGATGTTGCAGGGTGCTGGACAGGCAGAGCGCCGTGAACCTGCAGATGTTCCAGCCCAAGAGTCAACAAACAAATGAGCAAATGATGCGGGTGATGTTTAGGCCAACCCCATGAGGCTCTTCAAGCCAACAAACAAATGAACAAGTGATGTGGGTGATGCCCAGGCAGAGCCTGCAGGTCAGTGTGACCTGCAGATGTTCCAGAACAGAGAAATGAGCAAGTGATGCGGCTCTGCAGGTCAGAGACCCCAACAAACACATGAGCAAATGATGTGGGTGATGCCCAGGCAGTGACCTGCAGATGTTCCAGCCCAAGAGCCAACAAACAAATCAGCAAATGATGTGGGTGAGCCCAAGAGCCAACAAACCAATGAGCAAATGATGCTGGTGATGCCCGGGCAGAGGCCCATGAAGCTCTGCAGGTCAGCGATTCCAGCCCAAGAGCCAACAGACAAACGACCAAATGCCCAAGAGCCAAGCAGAGCCCCATGAAGCTCTGCAGGTCAGTGACCTGCAGATGTTGCAGGTCAGTGAGCTGCAGATGTTCCAGCCCAAGAGCCAACAGACAAATGAGCAAATGAGCAAATGATGCGGGTGCTGCCCAGGCAGAGCGCCGTGAAGCTCTGTTGGTCAATGACCCGCAGATGTTCCAGCCCAAGAGTCAACAAACACATGAGCAAATGAGCAAAGATGCCGGTGATGGCCCCGTGAAGCTCTGCAGGTCAGTGACCTGCAGATGTTCCAGCCCGCAAAGATGGATTTTGTCTTGTGCCGTGTTTGGAGGGTGACTTTGGCTCGTGTCATCTCAGGCATGGATCCAATGGAACTTCGGCGACTGGCACGTCTCCAACTTAGTGGAGGGGCGAGAGGCAGGCGAGCAGCACATTTCAGTATGTTGTTCTACTGCCTGGTTATAGTAGGGCCCGTATAAAGCTTTGTCATCATGTTGGTAGACACACACACACACACAAGCAAACAGCAAGCACAAGTACAAACACAGACACAGACAAGCACACACACACACACACACGAAAGCACAAACACACAAACACACAGCCAGACAGACGAACATGCAGACAGCCAGCCAGACAGACAGACAAACAAACAAGTAAGCAAACAAGCACACTCGCAAACCAGCATGCCGGCAAGGAAGCAAGAAAGCAAGAAAGCAAGGAAGGAAGCAGGCAAGCAAGCAACAGCAAGCAAAAGCAAGCAAACGCAAGCAAAGCAAGCAAAAGCAAGCAAAAGCAAGCAAAAGCAAGCAAAAGCAAGCAAAAGCAAGCAAAAGCAAGCAAAAGCAAGCAAAAGCAAGCAAAAGCAAAGCAAAAGCAAGCAAAAGCAAGCAAAAGCAAGCAAAAGCAAGCAACAAGCATGCACAAGCATGCACAAGCAAGCAAAAGCAAGCAAAAGCAAGCAAAAAGCATGCACAAGCATGCACAAGCAAGCAAAAGCAAGCAAAAGCAAGCAAAAGCATGCAAAAAGCATGCAAAAAGCATGCAAAAGCAAGCAAGCGAGAAAAAAAGTAAGCAAAAAAAGCAAGCAAAAGCAAGCAAAAGCAAGCAAACGCAACCAACAAAAGTAAGCAAAAGCAAGAAAAAGCAAGCAAGCAAAAGCGAGCAAGCAAAAGCGAGCAAAAGCAAGCAAAAGGAAGCAAAAGCAAGCAAGAAAGCGAGCATGCAAGAAAGCGAGCAACCCGCACATACACACACACATTGGCGATTCCACTGCGCCTTGTTCGTTCTGAGAGCTTAGGTGGCAGAGGCCCTGAACGGCATGGTGATGCCGGATGGCACCCAGGCGATGGCCGGAGGGGTTGATTATTTTTTTTTGGAAGGACAAGCGCATAGCGCGTACCTTATGTTTCCCTTTCTTTTGGGGTTGACTACGGCAGTTTCATGCCGGTCTCCTTTAAACAATGTTTGTGAGAATATAAGGAAGGACGCCTGAAATTGGTTGATCCCGCTTTGGTGATGTTCAAAGCGACGCCAAAAGGCCAATCATGGGTATGAAAAAGGGAGACCTGAAGGATAAGAGCCGTCCAGGAGAGCCCTGTAGGAAGCACTCATCTCTTTCCTTGCAAGCCGCTGGCCTTGGTTTCATGGAGGACACAGCCCGACATGAGACTGTGCCTCCCGTGTCTTTACGATCTATTTAGGCAAACTGACCTGAGTGAGAACGACCTTAAAACCTTCTAGTGATGCGAAAAGGTGTTGAGTGCCTCGACAGATTGTGCGGGAATGACAAACTGTGCAGTATTTTCTCCATTCCCCCCTTTGGCCCTTCCATTTACAGAAACCCGGAAGGTCGTTTTAAGAGGGAATGGTCATGAGAGACGTCCAGGAAGGGTCCATAGGAGGGTACACCTTGTGCGGGTTCTGCAATGCGTTCATACGCGCTTCTTTGAAACCTCATCCGGTCCTGTCCAGGTCCATGTCGACACATGGTGGTTCAACTATTACATCAGCCCGGCGCCCAGGCAAATCGGAGCAAGCCAATTGCCTGGGAAGAAGAAACTCCCCTGCTTGGAGTCAGCTTGGGATCAGGTTGGAGGTGTTCGTGCCCATTTCGTCCCGTGGGTTTCCCCTTTTTGCCCGATGAGAGGCATGAAGCGTGTCGGCAAGGACAATCGGCCGACTGCTGGCTCGATGTTTGGTCCTGAACAGGACACTCCCAAGGCAAAGAAACAATCACTGGCGTTCGGAAGGGAAGTTCGGAGCATCTACGCCTGTTAGTTTCCTTGTGTCTCTTTTACAGCCAACGAAACACGGTGTCCAGTTTCGTGGAGCTGCATGCGGCCTGTTGATTCTTTGCCTGACCTTTTTCAGTCCCAGGTTTCGATTGTGACTCCTGACCCTGGAGCCAAGCCTCCGGATGCTTCCCCCTTGAAGTTTTGAAGGGCGCAAGCCGGTTGGCTTCCCCCCTTTGGGTTCTCCCGACCATCCAAAACGGGGATTCCAAGCTTGAGGAGAAAGCTCCTATTGCGGTGTTCTTTTCTGGAAACAACGCTTTTGATGCAAGCGAACTTTGGGGGCGCTGTTTTTTGATAGGAAGCACCCAGAAATCAATGGTTCTGTTCGGGCAGATCAGTTTGTTGGAAGCCCAGAAATCAACAGTGTCAGTTTTTGGGAGCCCCATTTTTTTTTTTGACAGAGAGCTCAGTTTCCATTTTTCTCCTTCTGCCACTTTGGGGCTCCTCTTGAGAGCCGATCCCAGGCGGGGAGGAGCAGGTCACGGAGATCCTGGTGCAGTTCTGGCGACCCATGGGCAACTTGCCCGTGCTGGAGGCCAGGTCTGCGCAAGACATGGCAGTCCTACGAATTCGCCAAGAAAGGACCACCTGAGAGGCGACAATTTGGGCGGCTTGACCATGCAAATTTTGGTTGCCGCTTCCACGTCGATCTATTTTCGGGTTTCCTTGCAAGTTTTTGAGCGGGAAAGCGACGGCCTTGTGTTTGGTGAATCTGACGCTTTGGCACCTTGACTTGGCACACAAGCTGATCCATCAGCATCATTTTGAAACAGCCGGGAGCTGTTTTCACAGCTGGAGATGTGTTCTGAAGCGTGTCCGCAGGAGCCGGGCATCCAGTACTTGGGGGCTGATCAAAAGGTCCTTTACATGGGATGACCATTGACATGTCCCACTAAATGGGAAGAGTTTCCCATGGTCGTTTGGGGGCCAGGAATATTGATCAACCCCCACCTGGGTCGATGTTACAATGTTGCTTGACTGCCTTGGACCTTGATCTATGTCGTGGGAAAGCTATGAACTCAGCCGCTGTTCATTCCTTCAACTCATGCTTTACATTTCGAGACAGCACTGTGCAGGAACTAAGACATAAACTGTGCCATGCTTCATATTTTAGCTTGACCGCCCCCTCTTCTTGGAAGACCATGTTAGTGGCTGTTGGAAAGAACAATATCCACGGTTGGGGCTGCGTGGGTTGTGAAAGCTCCAGTCAAAGCTGCATATGTGTTTTGCTCTGGCCAGATCGAGTACGACAGCATGCGGAGCCGCGTGGAGGCGCGACGAAGCTACCCCTCCCTATCAGACCTTAGACATGAGCCACGTTCAAAGTCGAGCGGCTCGATGAAACCCAGTAGCAGGGGGCTGCTCGGGTGCGGATGTGGCAAACTCGGAAGCCTTTTTCAGGCAGGTTGCGAGTCACTTGGAGGTTGTAGATTTGCCAGGTTCCTGCTAAAGTAGGACATGATCAAAATCAAGCAGCTGTTTGTGAATGAACTGGGTTGCTACTTTGAGGGCACATGAGGCGGGAGGAGCATGTACGTGGCAGGTGGTGACGGTCACCAACGGCGACGCCAACGACCTCTTCATTTGGCCCTTGCCTGGCTCGCTCTTCGAGGCGCCGTTTTGGGGCCGAGTGTGAGGAGTTTGCAGGATATCGGTATCAAAGTCAGAAACTAGGATTCCCCTTCTACCTTTGGTAACATACTGGTGCCAGGCGGCTGAACTGGGGGGTTGCAACAATAGGGGCGCCCTGGTTACCTTGGAGTCCCCTGAAGGCAAATAAGGGTTGGTGACTTTGAGGTTCCCTAAAGGATCATCCTGGTACGTAAAGGTCATGGCCTGTTTTATGCCCCTTAATGGCCCCTTGTAGCCACCACCAGATACTGTCAGATTGCTCTGGCTCCGTTAGTTTCGCTTTAAATGACTACGTCCAACAAATGCTGACCCTCGTTTCGTGGATCTTGTCATGGAAGCCAAAAGAAGACATACTCGTTTTAGGCACCCCATTTTGAATGAACACCCAACTCCGAATTGTCTCGACTGAGTCTTGTGGGCTTCATGCACTTGGCGCTTCGCGCGTTTTTCAGTAGGATTTTTTGAGCCCTGCGGCGAGGAAGAGCTTCGCTGAAGTGTCAGGAAGTACAGAAACCCCTCTGTCCACCGTTGTTTGTGTTTGGTTTACTTGTAATACACCACGGCTGGGCTTGATCTCTTTCACATTCATATTTGGGCCAGAATCTGTCATCTCATTTCTGGTTGGGAACACGCTGATGTAGATGGCCTATGTTTCGTGTACTGTAAAAGCAGACTAATCTGGCTCAACCAAAACCTTCGCAGGATCAGAGGGTCGAGTCTCCGAGGATCTGAGCGGCGACACCCACAGATTTTGGCCATTTACGTGGTTCTACTGGGGGCAACGCCTGCGACTCACCAAACTTGCTGGAGCTCAGGGAATGAGAATTGGAGTGACCCATTTTTCCTACCATCCAACAGCAGGGAATGAGGGAGTGACCCTTGTAAACCATCCAACTGGTGGTTTCCTTTAAGGGGACCAAAGCAACTGTGTTCATTCCCAACACTTGGAAGGTCATTCCCTACCTATCGCACCAACAAGTAAATCTGCCAGATGCTTTGGTAGCTGGTTTCCTTTATTCCAACTGGTCATCCCCAGGTTCGTTCCCTCATCCATCCCCAGGTGCATGAACCTGGGCATGCCCTTAAAGGAAGCCATGGATTGTTTAGGGGTTCATTCCATTTCTCATTCCCCAGCTATAAACCATCCAACTGGTGGTTTCCTTTTTTCGGGGAAGCCTGACACCCGGAAGGTCATTCCCTCATTCCTATCGCACCCATCCAACTGGTGGTTTCCTAGGGGACCAAAGCAACTGGGTTCATTCCCAACACTTGGAAGGTCATTCCCTACCTATCGCACCAACAAGTAAATCTGCCAGATGCTTTGGTTGCTGGTTTCCTTTATTCCAGGTCATCCATGAACCTGGGCATGCCCTTAAAGGAAGCCATGGATTGTTTAGGGGTTCATTCCATTTCTCATTCCCCAGCTATAAACCATCCAACTGGTGGTTTCCTTTTTTCGGGGAAGCCTGACACCCGGAAGGTCATTCCCTCATTCCCTATCGCACCCATCCAACTGGTGGTTTCCTAGGGGACCAAAGCAACTGGGTTCATTCCCAACACTTGGAAGGTCATTCCCTACCTATCGCACCAACAAGTAAATCTGCCAGACGCTTTGGTTGCTGGTTCCTGTTTGGATTGTTTAGGGGTTCATTCCATTTCTCATTCCCCAGCTATAAACCATCCAACTGGTGGTTTCCTTTTTTCGGGGAAGCCTGACACCCGGAAGGTCATTCCCTACGGTTGCTGGTTTCCTTTATTCCAACTGGTCATCCCCAGGTTCGTTCCCTCATCCATCCCCAGGTGCATGAACCTGGGCATGCCCTTAAAGGAAGCCATGGATTGTTTAGGGGTTCATTCCATTTCTCATTCCCCAGCTATAAACCATCCAACTGGTGGTTTCCTTTTTTCGGGGAAGCCTGACACCCGGAAGGTCATTCCCTCATTCCTATCGCACCCATCCAACTGGTGGTTTCCTAGGGGACCAAAGCAACTGGGTTCATTCCCACCGGCAAGGTCATTCCCCTATCGCACCAACAAGTATATGGCTGTGGCTCAACAAACCGGTACCAAAATGGAACCCTTGAAAGTGGAAACATGGGTACCAAAACTGGCGTAACCCCGATCGCAAAGGTTTGGTTTCAGCTCCTTGCCAGGTGCCGGTGATGGAGCCCTCAGCCACCCTGGTGGCCAACGGACACCGGGCCAGGGGCCAAAGAGCAAGAAGCGCCTGACTGGTGGCAAACGGGGGAATATGAGGAGGGAAACCTGGCACCTGGCAACTTTGTGGCAATTTTTTGGGTCACGGATCTTTGGACCTTGACTTTTTGGTAGAACACTTTTGGGAGTTGTGTTTATTGGAGCCACAGAAAGTCAAGCAGTTTGAGGGGTCAACAGCAACCGCTTGAAGGGGTCCCCAATTTTGAGAAGCGCCCTGCGCCACGGTCATCCTGTGACCTGGAACCCGCAGCTGCCCTCCGTGGTGGTGTCAGTTTTGTTCCAATAGCCTTTCCGGAAACTGGGGGATTCACATGGAGGGATCCAACTCAAGGCACGAGTTCTTGCGGAGCTCAGTGAAATCGGATGAAACAAGGGCATTTGGTACACCTTGGGACTCTTGGCAGTCACCCATGGTTTTAAGATAGCAAGGTTTTCTCTAAAGCAAACTCTTTGGGGGTGAGGCTATTTCAACTTCCCAGATGTCACACCAAAGCGTCATTTCAGGTAGCCCTCAGGTGGTTTAGATTGGTGGTTTGGGGATTTGACCCCTCAGAGAGGGTTTACTTAACCACCAAACCACCAAACCTCCGGGCGCTGTCATTGGACGAATCTCACGTCCCAGTGCGAGGCCCGGTTCAGCCCACGCGCCCCGGGCCCGAGCAAGGGGAACACGAGCAACGCCAGCGAGGAGGTACGCCAGACATTGCTGCAAAGAAGGAACAGAGTTGGGGAGAGAAGAACCGCTGGCCTCCCTTTAAAATCAAATGCCAAGAAGAAGGGAAGAGAACCTTTTCTCTCTTGGCCGGTTCGAGTCCCCGATGGTGCCCCAAACCTGCGGTGCTATCACTTCGGAGCGACATAAAACAGACCTGGGGGAAGCGGGAACTTGGCGAAGACGACAAATCGGAGCTTCGGAGCTTCAATGAAAGTCACCCAAACAAGTGACACCCCTCGGCCTTCTTTGGCCCTTTTTAGAGACCTGCAGAAGCCACCCCGAGAAAAACCCGGCCCATCCCTCTAAATGGCCTTTCTAAGTTTTGCCGGCAAGCTACCGGGACCCAACAGTACTCAAGTGAGAACCCCTCAAAGTTTTTCAACCAGAGGCCCAGGTCCGGGCAACTTCTGGCCAGATGTTTGGACGAAGGTCGCCCAAAGGCGCTGTTTTTGTTCGGCGGGTCAGAGCCTTGGCTTGTCTCACCTGCCACTGGCCCGGCCCGGCAGTTTTTTTTTCCTTTTTTTTTTTTTTCGTGGACAAGTCACAGCCTTGACCCCCCGCTTCTATTTCTGGGCTTTTGATAAGAGAGCAAACAAAGAACATGTGTCCCAAACGTATTGAGTGACCAGTTGTAGGATCACCCAAGTGGTACTGTGGATGGATAAACGTCTTTTTCTAAGTCGTTAGGTGGCCTGTCCCAATATTTATCGTGTTTGCTCGATCCCAACTGGGCCTGTCTCAAAAATAGGGACCCTCTCAGGATTTTCAGGGATAGTTTGAAAGAGCCGAAAGGACCCCGCCTCCCTGAATTGTGAGACGTGGGTTTGTCATTTTTTTCAGCTGCCGCCTTAATTTGGTGGGGTTACCCTTTGGTTTCATTCTTTTTTAAACAGCAACCAAAAGGGCGGGCGTACCAACTCAAACAACAAAAACACCCCCAAGTCGGTTTCCTGCTTTTGACCCCAACCGAAAGGGGGGGTAGCAACACCACATCCACCGACCCCCCCCCCTCCGCACAAGTCGCGCAGGCGCCGGAGCGAGAGGCGGTGCCCTTCCCCTGCGAGCCGGGGGCCTTCAATGCCACCGGCTGCAACGAGGCCCTGGGCTGCCAGTGGGATGCGGCGCAAAAAGGCGGGGGGGGAGGGTTTGGGGGGACGCAGCTGGAGGGGGGGGGAAGGGTTGGGGGGGAGAGGTTGGTTGGGCCTTTGGTGAGCTTTTTTCTTCTTCCCGTTTTAGGGCCACCCAGTTTTGACCATGGTAAACTTTTCAGCCATGTGGTGAATGATTTTTTTGGAAAGTGGTTTTCCCCAATCTTCCTCTTGGTTTCCTTTTTGATGTCCTTCCAGTTTTCCGCTGGTACAAAAACGTGTCGGTTGCTCTAATATGTGTGTTTCCGCAGTTAGGCGGCAGCAATGGTTTCCTATTGGTTTCCTTTCTGAAGCCTTCACCACACCTTGCATGCCCTTATTGCAACTGTGTTGAACGGCCTTTTTGGTTTGCCTCTTGTGGTCGAAAGCTGAAACCTCGCCCTGTTGCCACGTCTCGATTCAAGTTTCCTTTGGGCTGGGTGAAATATGTCAGATTACAATTCACCTGGATCCGCTTTGCCGGGTCGGGACAAACGGGACACCATGACTTGTGAATAGCATACTTTCAATTTCTTCATCCGAACAGCCGAAAGCTATGGGGTCCCTGCCTAGGCTCCGGGGGTGATTTGGGGCAGCTTGAAAAACGGAGGTTCGGTTCCAGTACCACCTGAGCTTGGATACTGGACTTTCTTTTTTGTCTCCCCCAGCTCAAAATGTCCAACTTCAACCACCAACCAAAATCCTCAAACCCTCAAGCCTATCCCCCCCCCCCCCCCCGCCTTTCCCCCCGCCCCCCCCAAACCCAACACGCTGTCAGCCTACGGCCTGCACGATACCCTGGACGGCGCCCAGTACTACGAGACCTGGGAGGAGTGTCAGCAGCGGTGCTGCCACGATGAGGACGTCGGTCCCACGGTCATCCGAGGGGCTCCATAGGTGCCCACAAAGCGGCGACAACAAAAAATCGGGGGGGGGGGTGTCTCAAAATGGGATTCGGACCATCTCTTGGTTGGTATCTAAAGGGAAGCCAAAGAGAACACAACCATGTTACGAGGCCATGGTTTTATCATGTGAGGACATGGTAGTATCGACAATCTGGATGAATAGGGCGTCCAAAAGCGAAGGTTCGCCTCTTAAATGGCGCACTCCCCAGAAGGTTCCCATCAGGGACCGGTCCCTCAAAAAGGTCGGTTTCCTTTTAGCCTCCCCTTTGCCGCCATCCACAAAGGGGGTTCAACCCATTTTGAGACCATGGCCCCTCTTTCTGCCAAAATCGAACAACGACCTAAAAGTGGTACTGGTTTCCTTTGGGAAGTCCTTCTTGAGCAATGACCTACCTAAACGTAGTATTGGTTTCCTTTGGGCGGTATGAGCCTCACGGGGTGGAGCCTACCGGATATGAGCAATGCTTGGAGTTGTGCTCACCAACAAGTTCGGGTGTGCCTTGTTTTAAACATCCATATTTCCAAAAGTTCTCTTTAGCAGGCTACAAGCATCATATGGCCGTGGGTCAACACCAATGGTACAGTTTTGGGGTAGGTGCACCACCCATTTTAGTCCATTTTAGTTGGGATTGGGATGTTCACTGGGGGTACGATTTGGGTTTTGACTCATAGCCATATTCCCATTCGACTCCTGGTTTTAGACATCACCCTTTCGGGCCAGCGAATGAGCTTGCTTCCCCGTTTCACTCAGGACTGCCTGGCTGCGAGCTATGACACCGCCACCATGGCCGGAAGCTCAATTCCCTGGCCCTGTAGAGCTCATAGCCGCGCGTAGCAAACCCTCTCGCGGCAATGATTGGCGATTTCCGACGGTCTTTCTACTACCTGGCCCAAAAGTCCATGGGTTTTGGCACTGGTTGAACAAGGATTGCAGAATGGCCCAGATAAAAAGAAAGTAAGAGGTAGAAGCAAAGATGCTAGATAGGGTTGTAAGCACGATAGAAACCACAAGTCCGTGGGTTTTGGGCACCGCTCATATTGCATGCCGATGGCAAGAGTTTGGGAAGACAAATCAGGGGCAGCTACCACTGCTTCCGTACGTGGTCGAACTCTCAATTGATTCGGGAAGCACGTTGCATGCTGAAGCTACCAGTGCATTTCACCGACCGTTTCCCAAGTTATAGCACTCTTGTAGAGCGGATCCAGTTGGACAAATGTCCCTTAGCTCCCACTTACAACTTGTTCTTGATCACGGTGGGACCTAATTTGTTATGACCTCGTTTCGTGTCCCGGAGGGAGGCCCCATGTTTTGGACACCATGAACCCAAAGGTAAACAGGTTGCAGGGGAGAAACAAACAGACACTCGCCGCAAAAGAGAGGTGAAGTGAAGCTGGCACTTTTAGCTTGGCTATCCTTGACTTTCATCTTCCAATTTGTTTAGTCATGACTAGCAAGTCTTTTGTTTCAGGTTCCCACTGGTTGGTGGTTTGGATTGGTGATTTGGGGAGTGATTGTTGTAGAGGGTAAATAGGACACCACGCCCAAACCACCAAGCCACCAATCTCAAATAGTGGGAACAAGGCTGGGCATGTGGCCCTCGTCTTCCAGCTGCGTGGGGTGTCCGATTTCGGAAGCATTGCCCCATGTTTCGAAGGGAAGGGTTGGTAAAAGGCCAACGTTCCGCATGCGCGATGAGTTTTGTGAGGGGCAGCGGGGGCTCGCAGAAAAGCAAGGGAGACATGGGCAGTTGTCAAAGTCTGGCACCCCCTCTGTGGACCAGGATTGTCCTTTCAAGAAGACTACTTTGTGCGAAAATAGTTTGATTTCCCTTCCCAGGGTTGCTTGTGACCCCTCTTGCTAGCGGAAATCGCTCTTGTTTTTGGACCAAGGGAGGTCAAAAATCAACCCCGACTTATGGTGCAAAGACTGCTGGGTGTTTCAAGGTAAGAGAGGTTCGGTCAATCTGTTTTGGGGTTCAGAACATGGGACTGGTCAAATGTCAAAGGCCACGGGGACAAAGATGATTGTTCCACGTCCATGCCGGCAAACTTTCCACCTGAAAACGTGGCCCAAATGGTTTGAGGGTTGTCCTGTTAAGACAGCCTGGCAGGCAAAATGTGTGGGCCCCGCTAAAAGGCGCTGGGCATTTCCCCACCCAAGTCAGTGACAGGAACCACATATATACACATATTATATATATATATATATATATATGTTTTTGACCGTGGCTCAAGAGGTAGCTGTGTGTGTGTGTGTGTGTTTTGAGGGCACCATCTTTTCATGTTGGTTTCAAGGGACTCCAAAAGTTGAACGTGTGCGGGTCCCTCCGCCCGCTTTCAGGTCTGCTACAAGCTCACGGAGGCGCAGACCACCGGGGTGACTCTCTGGCGCGCTGGCTGAACATCTGGAGGGGTGTGCTCCCCCCAAAGCAAGGCGCAGGATCCCCGCTCAAAAATGAGGCGGGGTTGATGTTGATTTCTTTCCGGAGTGAACAAATATCAGACACATAGGTGTCCTTTTTGGTGGTGTTTTGCTCCGAAAAATAGATGGCGATTCCTGGTTTACCTGGTGGTGGTTTGATCATCGACCAGGGAAGCCCATCTATTTCCACTGAAAGGACACCGATGCTCAGAAATGGAGCAGGGTTGATGTTGATTTCTTTTCCAGCGTGAACAAAAGACATACACAACAGACATTCGGTGTCCAACACGTATGAATCCTGGGTTCTCATCTGCAGATCAACAAGAAACAAACCATGGAACGTCTCCTGTTGAGGGGTGCGACTTTGTGGGGGAGTCATGGGGATGGGAATCTCGCAGGGCTGCTTGTTCCAAGGTGGTGGATTTTTGGCTTCCACTTTTTGTGATACCCTTCAGCAATTCCCTTTTGCCCAGCAGATTCCCATGGTGAAAGGAGGCTGAGATTCAGCCCCCCTTTGGATTTCCCTAGTTTGAGCCACCTGTTTCCCCGTAAAAAGAAGCGCAGGAGGCTACTCGTTTTAAGGTTGCAATACGGAGTGTCGCCCCAAAAACATCACCTCACCTTGCCCCACCGCAGGCCTACTCGCTTTGAGGTTTCTTAAGGAGAGTTGCCCATTTTTGGAGCAAACAACGCCCCCCGAAACCCCGGTTGCTTAAGGTGAGTGACCCATGTGGCATACATCACCCCACCTTACCCCACCTCACCCCCACCTCACCCCCACCTCACCCCCACCTCACCCCCACCTCACCCCAAAAAAAACCTCTGTCTCCCCACCCCCGAACCGGGCCGGAGGCCTCGTTTGGCTCTCTGAGGCCCTCCGAGACGACCACGTGGCTCTACGCCACCGTGGCCTCGCGGAGGCCCAGCAGCGACGGCTACGGGGCCTTCCGGGGCGGCCTGGCGTTCGCGGGGCTGCAGCTGAAGGCCTACCCGGACCACCGCGCCTCGGAGGGAAAGGGAGGCCGAACATCGGGTCCGACCGGAGAGACCCAACCAAATACCGGGCACAGCCGCGGCAAATGCCCGGGCAAACGAGTACCCAAAATATTTGCGATCGGTGCGAGAGATGCAGGGACTGAGAAATGGAATGACGCCGAACTGAAACTATGCAACTGGGTGGTTTCCTGTAAGGGACCCAAACCTGGGTTCATTCCCACATCCGCTAGTGAGAACCACCAAAAAACGGATCCGGGGCAACCGGGGAGACCGCTGAACATGTCAGGAATTTCTTTGAGCAGCCCAAAAACCAACCGGGGCAAGCGCTTGTCTGGGATTTCTTGGGTTTCCTCTTTAGAGAAAAACATTTGGGCGGTATTTCCGACAGCAAGTTTTCAGAACCCTTCCGGGACCCTGCTGGCACCCTTCAGGAACCCTTGAGGGGGGGCCTACCCATGAAGCCAAAAAACAAACGAAATACGATTGGCAATATCTAGCAATTTGGCCTTCTTTCGAGAGATTTGCATTTGTTTAGAGAGGCCTTGGGATGAGGGTGGGTTTGTGAGTTGATGCCCTTTTCGGTGTAAGCCAACATGCAACCGAAGCCCATTCCAGGGGTTCTACACTCTATTCGGAGACATCCTTGATGGGACAACATCCTCACACATGGTGGGTATTTCATGACATAATTGTTCATGTCTAAACCCTAAACCCTGAACCCTGAACCCTAAACCCTAAACCCTACACCCTAAACCCTAAACCCTAAACCCCTGAATCTCCTATCTACGCACTTATGATCAACTTGTAGCGAGCTGACCTAGGGATAAACCCAGCTCATCCATGAGGGTAACAGGTACCGTTGGTTTGTGAATCGTAGCAACTTGCCTAGACGTATCGAAAGGGGCGCGGCCCATACAAAGCCAAATTGGAATCCAGTATAGTGTGCCCATATGGGTGTGTCGTTTTTTGTTTTTGTTTTGTTTCTTCTTTTTTTCCCCCCTGTTGGTCCCCCTTAGTTTTTGGTGGTCTTTTCAGGGACACCAAAGGAACACCGTTGCGCCATTTTGGGGAGGCCCCCCCCCCAAAAAAAAAAACACGAGACACTCATTTACTTTCAGCCGTAGACACATCTGTGTTGCGATCAGGTTCTGTGACCTTCTGCAAGGCCATGTGCAGCAAAGATCCGCTGCCCGGCGGCAGGCAGAACAGGTACACTCCATGGTGACAGGCCCAAGTTTTGGAGCTCCCTATTTGTTCCGAACGCCTTTTGGGTGCACACCGTGGGGTTTGTGCCCGTTTTCGGATTTGATCCCTGCTTTGGGGAAGCTTCAGTCCCGCATGTTGAGACAACCCAGGGTGTGTACATAGGGGCTCCCATAAAACGGTTGCCTTTTTTCGGTTTTCCCCTTTAACATCCATTTGCTTGAGTGTTGCGGGCCTATGTGCCCAAGCAAGTGTCATACCTTTTTGACGGACCATGCTAGTGTTCACTTGTTTAAAATTGCATCATCCACGGCTTTCATGGTTGGGTCAACCCAATGTGCCAAAACCAGTTGAACCCTTTGGCGAAGCGGTTTCAATGGAAAAAGGGCGCCTTAAAAGGACGCCCTTGCCATTCGGGCTCGAAATAGGTAACGCCTCCCCTCAAGCCTCTCACTTGGTGGGTCGTTCAATTTCCGCTCCGCGGAAGCGGAGCTGAAGTGTCAGTTTCAGTGGACACCAGGAGGACTTTGACGAGAGAGACAGAATCCCCAGGTTTCGGCCAATCAAAGCCACGAGCCCGGCGATCGAGGCTCTGCAAGGCCATCCACTGGTACGAGACCGCTGGCTGCTTCCTGAAGCCACGAACCCGAGGGGCCGAGAGGTCAGAGATGGCTGCTTTGAGGGGTATGAGTCAAAAGGATTTTCCTTTTGAGCTTTCCCTTCAAACCAACCTGAAAAGCGCATCAACTACAATTGTGCATGTGTGTGTGTGTGTGTGCGGGTGTGTGTGTGTGTGTGTGTGTGTGCGCGCTTTTGTTTTTGGAGTAGTTTCCCTATTTCCCTTTTCAGATTTGTGCATCTTGGTTTCCGCGCGTCTGCCTGTTCGACGCCTCCGAAACATTTGGCGGTTGAAGCCAGGCCGACAGGGTCTCCATGTTGCATATCCAAACTTGAGGGTGCCCTTTTGACTAGTGAGGGGGTGCTCAGGAGGGAATGAGGAAATGGACCCCCAGGTGCATTCCCACCAGCAAGAATACAAATGGACACCACACCTGGGTGAAAGTCGGCCATTTCCTTTGGGGATGAACCCAAGATGGGGAAAGTGTGCCGTCCACTGACCCTACAAAAACGGGTGTTCATTTCGGATGTTTGGAATGTTCCCACTTTTGGTTTCCATACTTTTTTGAAAAGCCCAACTGGGTGTGGATTTTATTCCACTTTTGGTTTCCCTGATTTTTTCGAGAACCCAAATGGGTGTGGACTTTTTATTTGGGGACCCCTTGGTGGGCATCACTTAGCTAGGGATTCCTGTCCGCCAGACACTTTCAAGGCGGTTTCGTGGGACAATTCATCGACAAACCCCGAGCCTAAGGTTTTTTTTTGTATTAGACCCTGGGAATACACCCACTGGGTATTGACCCCATTTAGGCACATGTCCGGATAAAACCGAACCATTCTGGGTCATTTCCCAAGTAATCCCAGGGTGTAATACAAAAACCCTCCCCCTTGAGCCACGGGCAAGCGCGAGGTCGCGGTGCCTCACGGAGGACTCTGTGAAGGTGGGGTAGGTCTGGAGTCGGGGAGGAGAAGACACCGGCACCTGGAACTTAACGGAAGAAATACCAAACGGAGAAATGACACCCAGTTGTTGGCTTTTTACAAAAACAACCCTGACTTGTCCTCTCTGTGGTAGTGATGGGCAATACACAAGACAGATGGACATGTAAGAACTGACAGGACAAGTGTCAGGGATTCACCTGTTCTGTTCCTTTCTTTTTCTGTCAGGGTCTCCGTTTGCACCATGCAAATAGGAGCAAGTGTCCGGGTGGTTTGCGCATTTGGAATCTGCCATGGTAAGAGCCAACCCCCTCTCTACTCGGGGTCGAGATGGCCGTGAGCCACCGCTGGAGCTTTGACGTGTGCGGGGCCGCGGGCCGAAGTCCATCATTTTGAGACACACCCGGGTATACAATGGTCATTGGACTTACAAGCCCCTTTGGGGTTTGTGGGGCTTACTTTTCAAGGCTTGGTGAGGGGTTCCTTGCATTCCACGCCAATCGTTGCGACCCTGGATCGCCGAAGCGCCCCAGACGCTTCACGGCGATCGGAGTTCTCTCCAGGTCGCGAGCTCCGATGATGCGAGCTGGACCTACTACAAGAAGGACGTGGAGCCCGAGCCTCGGGGCCGCAGGGCCGCAGGGCCGCAGGGCCGCAGGGCCGCAGGGCCGCAGGGCCGCAGGGCCGCAGGGCCGCAGGGCCAGGCCTTGGATGGGCATGAGAGCCGTGGTATGCTTGCTGGCCGGTTCCCGCTGAAGCGGTTTTCGGCTGCGCATGGCGAGCCTTGATTCTGCGCCCGCAAAATGAGGAGCTTTGGGAGGGTAACTGCCGGGACAAGGGGCTCTTTTCCTAGATGACACCCCTCCACTCGTTTGCGGCAATAAGTTGTACTGCAGCATCCGAAAGGCACCCATTCAAATAGGGGAGCCTAAAAGCGCGTTTCAATCTTGCTTCGGAGGTGTCCGCGCCTGGACCAGATTGACGAGGAAACTAGGCGTGGGACTCTGCCGGGGGATAGGTGTTGGAATTCTAAGTTCATTTGCAGCATAGCCACAGTCGAAGCCGGCGTTGCGAAGGAAATTAAAGGTTTGGGGACAGTTCCTGTAACTAGGTGTAGATGTCCGCGTTTGGGGCGGACAAGTTGATGACTCAATTGAGGCACCGGATGCAAATACGTGCTGCCCATAGCGGCCTCGGATGGGTCATTGGCCCATTGAAGAGAACGGCTCCCGCATCCTGACGCTTTCTTGGGCTGGTTGGTGGGATTGTTGCCTGAAGAGAGTAACGACTTCAGTTCATTGCGGCTTTTGAGATGGAGAGTGCTATACTGTGAATGGAACACATCCAGCATCAGTTGGGAGGGGCGAAACCCTATGAATACTGGGACAATCTACCTACCAACCGGTGCCGGATGCAGTCCATCCACAGAAAAATGCCAATCTTTTGAACGCTTTGGAGGCACCAAGTGCGACCGCATGGCCTTGCGACCTGCTGCCCTCGTTCGCCCTCCTTATTATCTTTTTGACTTCAGGGGTGGCCCAAAATGCTGGGCTGGGTCCCCAAGCATCGACTCAGCACGCCCTTTGGAACTTTCCGACTTTAAGGTTCCTCCCTCCCAAGAAAAGATTAAAAAAGAAAAAAAACAACGCAAAGCCATCGGTTGGGTTCCAGAGAAGGGCATTTGGTGCCCCCTTCGGCTCGCTCCTGGCCAGGGACAAGATGCTTCATCCGCCAGATGAGTTTGGAGGCTCCTACAGCGGCCTGGCGATACTGGGGAGTTGCATCCCTAGCCTTCGGTTTTTGTTGGCATGTACGTCACTGGTGCCTTGGACTAGGTATCCGAGGTGAAGTTAAACATACCGATGGACAAAATCCTGCACCACTTTGAAGCCATTGTTTGTTGATATTTACAGGGGAACCTTCATTGCAGGGTTTCTTAAGTTGTGCGAGTTGGATTTCGTCCGTCAGTATCATCGACCCTTTCCATCAGTTGAGAGGTTCTATCGGCGTCCATGGACCCTGGTGCCTTTTGAGCGGAGAGTTGCAAAGTTTGTTGCTGGGTCGTTTGGCTTAAAAAGGGGTCGAGCCACTTGACGGGGTGGAAGGGAAAGGCGCAAGCACCACAAGAGGGGGGTTCTCGCTCGGTTCAGCGGACGTGGTCAGAGAAGAGAGACAGCTTTCCGCCCAAGCGACGTAGTTCCTTTTGGTTTTTTGGCAGGGGCTAGCCAGAGTCACACTTGCATCTGGCTTTGACGGCTGCAATCAATCGACCCCGCTTCTAGACCTCCTTGCTGGCCTTTTGATGCTTTTGGGAATGGTTTTCTTGGTGGCTCCCAGCAGTCACTTTTAGCAGGGGAGCGGAAAGCAACGGAGCCAAACTTCGTGTCTTCGGCACGAGGCTCCTTCGCCCAGGGCTTCCTGTCGGGCCGGCGCCGCTGGTTCCAACGCCAGACCTACCTCCGCGGCTGGGACGAGTCGAGTCCGGTCGAAGGGCTTGGTGGTCAGTGGTTTAATGTTAACCCCGGATAAGAAAACCCCTGGTTGATTTTGATTGGGGGTTGTCCCCTTGTCAGTTGAGCCACAGACAAAGCCCGGGTAGATGAAGGTTAGTAAGGGACAATCCCCTTGCCATAAGTAGCTGCGGCCGCCCTCTTAAGTCTTTACATGGTTCTGGGTTAACCCCGGACTCATAAACTCCTGGTGGATTAATAGGGGGGGTGTCCCCTTTTAGTGGGGATTCCGACCACTTTTGGAGGGGAACCCCCCCCATATTGATAAACAGGGGTTTAATCCGGGGTCAACATAGGTCCCCTGTGCACCGACCTCAGCCGACCTTTGGTTTTCCAAAAACGGTCCATGTTTGGTCAAGGTCTCGGAAGGTTACGATGTGATCTCCGGCTCCTTTGGGCAAGTGAGTTTTTTTCTTTTCTCCGCTGTTTGAACCATGGCTTAATCAACCTCCTTGTGGTTTTGCCGATGGATTAACACCTGTTAGGGAGATTGAAGATTGGATCAGCTTCAACCTCCTGTAATGGATTTTCCTATCAGTTAGGGAGATCCGTGGCTTGATTGGTTCAACACATTTTGCACAACCCTGGTCCTTGCGCTCTTCCCCCTTTCGGGTGGTTTCCATCTAAATCTTTCGCCTGCGGGTTTGCACACCAGGTGACGTCATGAAAAGGGAAAGCCTTCAAAGGAGAGCCGACCGGCTGCTCTTGCGCAAGACTGGGTTTCTCTTGTCAAACCTCTGTGGTTAGAGGCTGAACACCTTAAACGTTTAAAACCATCTACAAACGCTTTACGCCCAATTATCAAGAATAACGCTGGTCCCTGCCGTTTTACCGCAGCTGCTGCACCGAGAACAAGACAGAACGCGAATCGCCCCCCGCAGGCGCCCGTGCGCCGTGCGTTTCCGTTTCACCGCAAGGCGTGCGACGGGGGCGCCGATTAATTTTTTTGCCGAGGCTACGCGGCGCGGGGCGGCTTCAAGGTGGTCTCCGTGGAGGCAAGCAAGCGATTTCTCCGGCGTTTTTTGGTCGGAAGCCGTTGTTTTTTTGGTCGGAAGCCCGTTTCTTGTGTAAAACACACGGGCCTGTTGGGGGTTGTTGCAGTTCTTTTTTTTTTGGTTTTGCGAACCAGCTTTTCTCAGTTTTTGCTTTGGGTGTTTTTGGTGGGTGCCACTTGAATGGCGAGTTGCAACGAGCTTTATTGGAGGTTAGATTGAGCGGTTTAGCCCATGTCGGCCAAGGAGAGCGACTCCGAGAACGTGGCCGGCCAGGTGGACACAGTGTCACTGAGACGGCAGAGAGTTTTTGGGCCGGAAGGGAAAGGCATCAAAATGGGCGACTTCGAGGTTTTTAGTGCAGACGGCTTCGACGGTTCCAAGATGTTTTCGACAACCCCCAAGCAACTCCGCAGGGGTCTAATGAGACATACAACCACCGGAGCTTGAGGAAGCCGCACATTTGGGAAGTTGAAATCCCTATTTGGCTATTGGTCAAAATGAAACCACCAGGACATGGACCGCAGATTTTAGTCCATGTTTCCATTTACCGATCGGGCAACCCATTTTAGGGGTTACCCGATTTTTGACTCACAGCCAGTTCGAGCCACCGACGTAGTCCTTGGTGTAGGCCTCCTGAAGGTACGCCACCCTTGTCACATGGGTGTCAATAGGACACTGCCCGTACCAATGGTTTCTCAAAATAGCAGTTTTATAAGGTTGGTTTCCTTTTGGTTTCCCTTTCGTATCCTAAGAGGGGGGGGGGGTCCGACTCCCATTTTGAGAAGCATCCACACACACACACACACCTTTTGCTTGTAAATCATACAAACAAAGCACACAGGTACACACATACATTAATTGAACATATGTGCAAAACACATAATGTAAACAAGTATACTAAAAAATAGCATACACATATATATATATATATATATATGTTCACCCCCCCCCCCATGAACTACATTTGGGGCATGTGTCTTTGATCCATCTGCTCATCTGCGTCTGAACTTGTCAAGTCTGCCAACACTACATTTGGGGCATGTGTCTTTGATCCATCTGCTCATCTGCGTCTGAACTTGTCAAGTCTGCCAACACCAACTTGTCCTTGTTCATCGGAGGTCTGTGTCTGCATCCACCAAGTGCCAAAGATAACACCAAATGCATCTGGATGAGGAAATGTTGAGGAAATGTGAAGACATGTCAACCATATTCTGAGCAAGAAGTGAACAAGTCATGAGGGAGCAATGATGAAGCAGAGACGAAGCAATGAAGAAGTGATGAGGAGGTGATGAGGAAGTGATGAGGAAGTGATGAGGAAGTGATGAGGAAGTGATGAAGTAGTGACGATGTAATACAGAAGTGATGAGGAAGTGATGAGGAAGTGATGCGGAAGTGATGAAGCAGTGACGAAGTAATGCAGAAGTGATGAGGAGGTGATGAGGAAGTGATGAGGAAGTGATGAGGAAGTGATGAAGTAGTGACGATGCAATAAAGAAGTGATGAGGAAGTGATGAGGAAGTGATGCGGAAGTGATGAAGCAGTGACGAAGTAATGCAGAAGTGATACGAGGAAGTGACGAGGAAGTGACGAGGAAGTGACGAGGAAGTGATGAGGAAGTGACGAGGCTGTGACGAATGAGCCAGGCGTAAGGGACGAAGGATTGTTAAGAGAAGCAGCTTGAACTTGCCCACATACATTCGTGCATTGCAATAGAGTGCTTTGGTTCTCGCAAGGCTCGAACCAGCAGTGTGCTTTCTGCCCATATTCTGGAACAGGCGGGAAGCAACAAAAAGTTGCAACTCCCGCACCTGCTGTGGAGTGGTCTGCTCTATTAGCCAAAGGCTTCTGACACTGCAAGCTGGACTGCGAAAAGAACCGAGCGCGCTGCTGTACTGAGTCCAGGGGCACCTCCTCTTCAAATAGACTGACCAACACACCACAAACCAAAAAAAAACAAAAAACTCGAAGAAACCAAAGAAAACCAAGAAAACCTCGAGAAAACCAAAAAACCAAAGACTTTGGCTGGTTTTGGAAGACTGCTTTGGTTTTTTGGTTTTCTCGAGTTTTTTTTGGTTTTCTTTAGTTTTCCTCGAGTTTTTTTGGTTTTTTGAGCTTATGGAGCCCAAAAACAAAAAAGCGCATGTGTTTTTATGGTTTTGGTGGGTAAGCACTGTGCACAAACCAAAAAAACACATGTGCTTTTTTGTTTTTGGGCTCCATAAGCTCAAAAAACCAAAAAACTCGAGGAAAACCAAAGAAAACCAAAAAACCTCGAGAAACCCAAAAAACCAAAGCAGTCTTCCAAAACCAGCCAAAGTCTTTGGTTTTTTGGTTTTCTCGAGTTTTTTTTGGTTTTCTTTGGTTTTCCTTGAGTTTTTTTTGGTTTTTTGAGCTCATGGAGCCCAAAAACCAAAAACACAATGTATTTTATGGTTTTGGTGGGTAAGCACCGTGCGCAAACCACAAAAAACATGTGTTTTTTTGTTTTTGGGCTCCATAAGCTCAAAAAACCAAAAAACTCGAGGAAAACCAAAGAAACCAAAAAAAACCTCGAGAAAACCAAAACACCAAAGCAGTCTTCCAAAACCAGCCAAAGTCTTTGGTGTTTTGGTTTTTTGGCTAATGGGTTCTCTCGAGGTTTTTTTGGTTTTCTTTGGTTTTCCTCGCGGCCAAAAAAAACTTCAAAAACTCAGTGTTTTTTGCACTTTCTACTGCTGAGATGCAATTGGTTGAGGGCCGAAATCCGGCCGGTATTTTCTTGCAGTTGTACTTCCAAAACATGTAGAAAACACCGTAAATACCAGTGTTTTGTAAGGGTTATATGGGTTGGGCTGGTTTAGGGCGCCCCAAGGTGCACTCGGCAGGTTTAGGGCGCCAAGCGTCTTTTCGGCAGGTTTAGGGCGCCAAACGCTTCGAAGCGATCGGAACGTTCGAAACACTCGAAAAGTTCGAAAAGGTCGAAACGAAACGTTCGAAGTGTTAGAAACGTTCGAAAAGTTCGAGAAGTTCGGAAAGTTCGAGAAGTTCGGAAAGTTCGAGACGTTCGAGACGTTCGAAACGTTCGAAAAGTTCGAAACGTTCGAGAAGTTCGGAAAGGTCGGAAAGTTCGAGACGTTCGAAAAGTTCGAAACGTTCGAAACGATCGAAACGTTCGAAACGATCGAAAAGTTCGGAAACCCTGACCCTCGCTCGCCTTCATATAAGAGAGTCGATCAGATTCCATTTTCATCGACGTCATTTTGTTGGGTCGCCGGCATTCCGTTCCAGAAAAAAGGGCCATGGTGTTGACAGAAAACAATAACGCTGAATTCAGGCGATGGCACTCCGAGCGAAAAAGTGCAGAAAAAGACAGCGCACAGGCTCAGCAGGAAGGTGCACCAGGGTGGACTCGAACCACCATCTTTGCCGCCAGTCACGATGGACAGTCCTCAGCGCATCCACAGTGCGATGCTCTTCGCACTGTGGATGCGCTGAGGGCTGTCGATCGGCCGAGGCAACGCCTTGCCCGTGCAGTCGCAACTTTCCGAGCCCGGGGGGACTGCCCCAGCGGGCTCTTTTTGGTGGTTGCGGCTGCAACAACGAAACAAAGTACTAGTGCCCGGCATGTGTTGAACTGACACTCATCATGAACGCGCCCTTCTAGGCATCGTTTCAAGAGAAGGCATCCGAAAGTTGATTGACAGACCAATTGAATGTGTCACATGGGATAAAAGAACGCTTGTGGCAAATAATATACACGGAAAAGGGTAGTATTATCTGTCTGTGGTTGACAGCATCAATGATGCTGCGCGATTGGATTGCGATTGGCCAGCGATTGGGGGGTTCACACAAATTTCGACACTCGCACTGTTGTCAGCATTTCAGACATCTGTTCCAGAACACTCTGTTCCAAACAAGGCAACTATTTTTCATAAGCATGTCCAGTGGTTTGTGCTGTTGGGCAAAATTTCTCATAAGATCTTGCGCACATGGAGTGTTATAATATCAAGGTCAAACGTTTGGTGGGAACTTTAACTCGATAGTTTTTGGGTTGGGAGGGACTTCGCAGGTAAGTGTTTGCCCCAACACAAAAACTGCCTTGTTGTAGTTGGTCTTGGCTGGGCCATGTTGGGCCAAATGCATCCTGACCGAGGTGCACACAACATGATCAAGCTAAGGTTAAAAGCACAATGTGTTTCGGGCTGCTTCGACCAGGGACATGGCAAGGTGCGTTGCACAGGAGCGCGTGCGCAGATACTCGACAAGCATATATATATATATATATATTTTCCATAAATAAATAAATAAATATATATATACTTTTTTTTCCGGCAATCATCTCATGATCAGTCTCCTCCATCAGCATCATACTGCAGAAACCGGCCACGGCTTTACAGGGAAACCAAAAAGCAACAAAGCTGCATTTGCATTTTGAGAGAGTGACCACATCAGAACTTGTTGCAATTGGGCCCCGGGTTTCCCATTGGTTTCCCATTGGTTGGTTTCCCATTGAGCACGCCACCAGCTGAAACCCATTGAGCATGCCACCAGCTGAAACCAAAGGGCATTTGGAATTCGCTAGCTAGCTAATTTGAACATCTTGCAATGCAGTTTCAGAGCATGGCCCCCAGCTTTCAAGCGATGGCTCACTCTCGTTTCAGTTGGCAGTTCCTGCACGCGGCACCACACACACAAACATGCATCCACGGGCTCATGTGCGAGTGTTGTCAACAAGCATGAGATTCGGTCCTGATTTTCTTGCGGGCGTGCTTCAAGCGTAGGAGAGCACGGCCAAGGATCCCCTTCATCAATCGGAACCGGTGGCAGCTCTTTGCCAAACCTCCCAGCTCATTCAAAGCAAGCATCAAGTCATGAAAGGAAACTGACATGTGCATGTCTACATAGACAGGCGTGAGCAAGTTTGTGCTTTGACGCTTTGTAGACACACACACACGCCAAGATCTAAACACTGGCGACCAGGTGAGTCTGACACGGCCAGCCTTTGATGTATCGCATGTAGTCCTCGTCGACCATGGTGTGCTCAAACCGCATGTTGTACCCTTAGCTCATCAGTGCGACACTATACCAATAAACTGGTTAAGAGTTCATCAAAAATGTGGCACACTTCTTATAGACTGAGTTTCGCCGAGAGAATTGCTCTCTAAGTTGATGATCGAGAGCCTCACAAGTTCAGAAACCAAGGCCGATCCAATGGTGACATGTTAATGCTTGGCCAACAGTGTGCAGCGATGATGAGACTTGCAATCAATATCCAAACGCCAAGGAACATGAACTTTTGGGATTTGCACCCAGCGAATTTGATTTCTCCTCGCCGAGAAGCAGCGCACCAATCCCAGCCAAGATTTCGCAATCAAGCTTGCATTGGCTTCCATTTTCTGTTTTAGACACTTGTGTCAAAACACAGAACACGAGTCGCAGTGCACACGAATAGCCTGGCCTGAAAGAGATCTCTGCCAGCTCCTTGCCAAGCATGAGGAACCTCCGCCCGTTGTCCCGGATGCTGGCCGCTTCCGGCTCAGACCTGGGATGATTGCCAAGCAGCCCCGACCGACAGGCAGGACCCTACTCAGGCCCTTGCAAGTACCGGCCAGCTCGTTCCATTGCTGACAGCATGTCATTTCCTGCACTCCTTAGAAA